TGCCCATGGGATGGTTGGTGGAACAAAGGCCACGGACCTCTCTCAAATACTTGGGCAAAGTAGTGTTCCTTATTGATCTCTGTTAAGCTTCTGTGCTTTAATCAGCAGTGTAATTCATATTGAAGTTGCATATATATATCTCTTGAATTTGGTGCCTGTGGTATTAAGCTATCTCCATTTTTATTTTGTCAACATGCCTACTTTGCCTAGTAAAATTACACTTGAGCTATATAGACACTACGGGATCAATTCGTATCCAACTTTATGAATATCTACTCATGCGTACATTTCTTTTTCTTTTTTATGGACTGTCGAAAGCGCAGTATTTTTTTTTTTGGATTGATTACAACTATTTTTCAAATCTGAATAATTCATCAAATCAATCGAAATTGTTGTTGTCAAATTTTTAGCTAATTATAAAAGTTCGTAAATTTTTAGCTATTATAAAAGTTCATACACGACCTATATATGTGTGTGTGCATTTATCTCAAGTACTGAAGTTGGTGTATACTATTTAATACTTACATTTAAAGCATAACATATATATATTTCAAGCATTTGCATGTATCGCGTGCATTTCACGCGTGCACACACATGCACGGTATATATAATTACCAAATTATACATGATTCAAATTACCAAAATATATACATACGTGGTGAATCCACACGAGAATACACCAATTACGCTAGCACATTGTAACAATGCTATAGTACCATACCAGTTGAGGTTTCAATGGATCTTTCATTGAGGTTTATCACCTTATGCCTTCATTTTAAGTTAGTGTTCCTTATTGATCTCTGTTAAGCTTCTGTGCTTTAATCAGCAGTGTAATTCATATTGAAGTTGCATATATCTCTTGAATTTGGTGCCTGTGGTATTAAGCTATCTCCATTTTTATTTTGTCAACATGCCTACTTTGCCTAGTAAAAGTACACTTGAGCTATATAGACACTACGGGATCAATTCGTATCCAACTTTATGAATATCTACTCATCCGTACATTTCTTTTTCTTTTTTATGGACTGTCCAAAGCGCAGTATTTTCATGAAATTAAAACCAGAAAGCGATTCCGATCACTGAAAGCTGCTAAAAATTGGATTATGGAAGCAAATCAAAGAGAGCAAGCACATGAGCCACTCGAAGCTGGTGATGGTTCTAATTAAGGTGAGCTCAAGAATTTTTGTATTGGAAGAAGTAAGAGGATACACAAACTATTGTATGGTAAATTAATTTTAAAAAAAGGTTTGCTTTATGTGATCGTTATGTTTGCAAAGGAGGTTTTCAACTATTGATGTAAAATTTATATTAAATCTATATACATAAATACATGGGTGACAGTTCTTAGCATTAAGCACCAGGTGATCAACATGGTTGATGTTATTGTATATTTGCTTATGTAGGCTTCACAGAATTAGCACTTCGACGTTGCAAACCCACCTGAAAACATAACATGGGTCCTCACTGATGAGCTCAAGAATTTTTGTATTGGAAGAAGTAAGAGGATACACAAACTATTGTATGGTAAATTAATTTTAAAAAAAGGTTTGCTATATGTGATCGTTATGTTTGCAAAGGAGGTTTTCAACTATTGATGTAAAATTTATATTAAATCTATATACATACATGCATGGGTGGCAGTTCTTAGCATTAAGCACCAGGTGATCAACATGGTTGATGTTATTGTATATTTGCTCATGGCTTCACAGAATTAGCACTTCGACGTTGCAAACCCACCTGAAAACATAACATGGGTCCTCACTGATGCTGAGAATGATGAATATGGAGCCTGTACGTATGTCGAAGATAATTAACATGGTTCCGGATCAGGTGAAGAATTCAATCCGTCTACGTGTGGAAATGTGTGAAGGAAATCAACGAAATAAACATGTTTATTTGGTTTTTGAGGGACAAGATGAGGGGACTCAAGTTGCTTCCAAACTTTGGTTTTTCTTTTCTTATTGAACAAATTCCCTTTCCTTATGTTCCGGTTGAAGTGCTTTCTGTCACCTTTGGAAATTAATGTATGGGGTATCTGGCTATTATTGGGCTGGTGAATGAGAAACATTAACCTAACTTATATACAAACTCTTGCGTTAACAAATTGACCCGTGGAAGCACTGGTGGACCCAGAATTTTTTTAGCGAAGGTGCAATATTGACTAAGTATGAAAAATGATTTTTCAGAATAATCATTTTCTCAAGATAATTTTTGGCGGCTTTTATTTCTTACACATCAAATAAGAAAACTTGATTTTATGGGTTTTTTTTTTTTTTTTTTTTAGGTGAGACCCAAGGGTATCCACCGCCAACAGCAGTGACTAATCCCTTTCGCCGCGGGAGCTCTCCCAATAAAGGTAAACGGCTGGCCACGAAATGCGCTCCATTCCCATGGGCGGGGATCGAACCCCCAACCTCATGGTTAAGGAATGAAGTGAGCTACCACCACACCACATCTCATGGTTATTTTATGGGATTTTAGTATGAAGTATATATTGACTTAATGAGCCATCATTTTTAACATAAATCGTATTTTGCACTAAAACCGATTTTTCATATTTTGATTTGGTGGGAATTTAATTTTCTAGTATTTTTATTTGAATCCAAATGGGGGGTACTTATTTACATTGTAAACTTAAGTAAATGGAGTAATATAAAAATAAATGAAAGTAAAAGAACAAAGACATTTACTCAAATGTTGAAAATGGAAATAAAGTAATCTGTACACCAGTTGAGCAAAAGGGCAATTTGAAGCACCTACAATGGTTTTTCAGGCGAAGGAAGGTGCAGCTGCACCTCCTTGCGCCTTAATAGGTCCGCCACTGTATGGAAGCATAATCGCTTGAACAGGAAAAAGAAAATCAACCAAAGCGATAGCCTCATCCCAGATGATGAACGGTTTGAGGGAAATCAACGAAATAAACATGTTTATTTGGTTTTTGAGGGAGAAGATGAGGGGACTCAAGTTGCTTCCAAACTTTGGTTTTTCTTTTCTTATTGAACAAATTCCCTTTCCTTATGTTCCGGTTGAAGTGCTTTCTGTCACCTTTGGAAATTAATGTATGGTGCATCTGGCTATTATTGGGCTGGTGAATGAGAAACATTAACCTAACTTATATACAAACTCTTGCATTAACAATTGACCCGTGGAAGCACTGGTGGACCAGAATTTTTTTTAGCGAAGGTGCAATATTGACTAAGTATGAAAAATGATTTTTCGGAATAATCATTTTGCTGCCTTCGAACCTCTCTCTGCTCTCCTGTACTTCAAATTCAAAATAATATTATCCAGAATCCTGTGGAAATTTCAGTCAACATATTTGTTAATTAATTACCTCTTTATTTATGTTGCATCGAGAAACAAACAAAAAAAATATTGTTTTTTTCAGCATAAATTCTTTTCAATAATAAAAAGTTGGGTTAGATGGTCCAAAACTAAATCGTTACACTTTCCACACTTATCAGAAGTGACTTAATTATGTGCCACATACACTTGGACTGCATGCAAATTTATATATGACAACTGGAAAGAGCACCAATCTTTATTGGCTTTTGTAGAGATATTCCAGAAAAACACACAAAATTAAAGCTAGCAAAGATGGAGGATGGGGGAAATCCATCCATGTTGCCACCAAGTTACACTAAGATTAAGAAAGAACAGCCGGAAATGTTAAGTGAATTTGATCAGAAAATAGTCCAGCTCCAAGAGGCTAAGTTGAAGTTCCAAGATGAAAATGAAACTGGACTGCTGCCACAGAGTGACATAGAGACCAATGCAGCAAAATCAGAAATGTTGAGCGGAGATGATAGAGCAATAAAGGCCATCCCTCTTCAAATGATACCAGCACCTACTGCGACTTATTTTGATGGAAGACCTTATGGACTGCCCGAAGGATGGATTGTGGAACAAAGGCCACGGACATCTCTCAAATACTTTGGCAAAATAGATCAGGTTTATTCCGTCACTAATTTTTTTGGGGGGTTAATATAACTATCTTTTTTCAAATACGAGGATCTGAAGAATTCAATTGAAAATATTTAGCTAATTATAAAAGTTTTTTAATTAGATCTAATGCCTCCATTCTCAGATCTATTATGTAATTTTTTTGAAAACTAGCAAGGGTTGTTGTAATCTGATGATTTTATGTTTTGTATTTACTCGTGGAGTGTGGAATTAGTCTTTATTTTTTTCGTTTTTTTTTTCTTGTCTTTGTGGTGGTGTCAATTTTTTGACTAATTATATAAGTTCGTACATTAATACATTTAGTGCATCCACCTCAGATCTATTAATTTTAGGCTTACTACATGTAATTTTAAATATAAAAAACTAGCTAGGGTTATTGTGATCTGATTCTGTGTCTATCAATTTAAGGGCGGAATTGGGGGAATTTTTGTTCTCCTTGTGGTGACGGTACCATGTACCTGTTATAAACTTGCAATTCAATTTTGATGTGTGTTCTTCGCTTTTGCTTATGAATTAATAAAGTATATAGGTATATATGATTCATATACATGGCCTGATATTATATTTCTGGATCGGGATCATATTGAAGTGTTTTGTACACTATTTAATTAGTATTGATATTAAAAGCACGTAACATATATGCTTCAAATATGTGCATGTATAGCGTGCATTTCACGCGCTCGAGCACACACACATATATATAGTTACCAAATTATACATGCCTCAACTTTACTTCAAATTCAAAATAATATTATCCAGAATCCTGTGGAAATTTCAGTCAACATATTTGTTAATTAATTACCTCTTTATTTGTTGCATCGAGAAACAAACAAAAAAAATATTGTTTTTTTCAGCATAAATTCTTTTCAATAATAAAAAGTGGGTTAAATGGTCCAAAACTAAATCGTTACACTTTCCACACTTATCAGAAGTGACTTAATTATGTGCCACATACACTTGGACTGCATGCAAATTTATATATGACAACTGGAAAGAGCACCAATCTTTATTGGCTTTTGTAGAGCTATACCAGAAAAACACACAAAATTAAAGCTAGCAAAGATGGAGGATGGGGGAAATCCATCCATGTTGCCACCAAGTTACACTAAGATTAAGAAAGAACAGCCGGAAATGTTAAGTGAATTTGATCAGAAAATAGTCCAGCTCCAAGACGCTAAGTTGAAGTTCCAAGATGAAAATGAAACTGGACTGCTGCCACAGAGTGACATAGAGACCAATGCAGCAAAATCAGAAATGTTGAGCGGAGATGATAGAGCAATAAAGGCCATCCCTCTTCAAATGATACCAGCACCTACTGCGACTTATTTTGATGGAAGACCTTATGGACTGCCCGAAGGATGGATTGTGGAACAAAGGCCACGGACATCTCTCAAATACTTTGGCAAAATAGATCAGGTTTATTCCGTCACTAATTTTTTTGGGGGGTTAATATAACTATCTTTTTTCAAATACGAGGATCTGAAGAATTCAATTGAAAATATTTAGCTAATTATAAAAGTTTTTTAATTAGATCTAATGCCTCCATTCTCAGATCTATTATGTAATTTTTTTGAAAACTAGCAAGGGTTGTTGTAATCTGATGATTTTATGTTTTGTATTTACTCGTGGAGTGTGGAATTAGTCTTTATTTTTTTCGTTTTTTTTTTCTTGTCTTTGTGGTGGTGTCAATTTTTTGACTAATTATATAAGTTCGTACATTAATACATTTAGTGCATCCACCTCAGATCTATTAATTTTAGGCTTACTACATGTAATTTTAAATATAAAAAACTAGCTAGGGTTATTGTGATCTGATTCTGTGTCTATCAATTTAAGGGCGGAATTGGGGGAATTTTTGTTCTCCTTGTGGTGACGGTACCATGTACCTGTTATAAACTTGCAATTCAATTTTGATGTGTGTTCTTCGCTTTTGCTTATGAATTAATAAAGTATATAGGTATATATGATTCATATACATGGCCTGATATTATATTTCTGGATCGGGATCATATTGAAGTGTTTTGTACACTATTTAATTAGTATTGATATTAAAAGCACGTAACATATATGCTTCAAATATGTGCATGTATAGCGTGCATTTCACGCGCTCGAGCACACACACATATATATAGTTACCAAATTATACATGCCTCAACTTACCAAAATATCTGCATAGGTAGAGTATACACACGAGAACATATACCAATTAAGCCTGCACTTGGGTTGGGAAGCCACCGTTTTAGGTTGAAGGGGATTATCAAATATGGGGAAGGCTTCAAGAATTTTCTTGTTACTTTACATGTTTGTACAGTGTTATGGTACTATATTCCACGCCTAGAGTATTAACATTCAAGCATATTATCATGAAATTCACAAAATCTGGTTCGAAGTACCTTTAAAAGCCAGCAGGGGAGGTTCAATGGAGGCGGCACATCTTTCATTGGTTATAAACTTGCAATTCAATTTTGATGTGTGTTCTTCGCTTTTGCTTATGAATTAATAAAGTATATAGGTATATATGATTCATATACATGGCCTGATATTATATATCTGGATCGGGATGATATTGAAGTGTTTTGTACTCTATTTAATTAGTATTGATATTAAAAGCACGTAACATATATACTTCAAATCTGTGCATGTATAGCGTGCATTTCACGCGCTCGAGCACACATATATATATATAGTTACCAAATTATACATGCCTCAACTTACCAAAATAAAATATCTGCATAGGTAGAGTATACAGACGAGAACATACCAATTAAGCTTGCACTTGGGTTGGGATGCCACCGTTTTAGGTTGAATGGAGGCGGCACATCTTTCATTCATTTTTATCCCCTTTTATTCCTTGAGTTTTCCTAGTCTCTTATGCATTTTTTCCATCAACAGTTATATTCCTAGTGATTCAAGTTAGTGTTCCTTATTGACCCATGTTATAATTTTAATCTTCTGTTTAATCAGCAGTAGTTTTAATTCATATTGAAATTTATCTGCATTGAGCTTTCCTAGATTGTTCAAGGGCTTCAATAAAGGAAAATAATCATGCTTTGCGGCCGGTTGGGTTATTATACTATAGTTTTGCCTCTCATGACATAAAATGACATTTTCTAATAGTCCCCCTTTGTAATTAATTAACATCGATTATCAAAAGTGCAGTTTGTTCATGAAGTCAAAACAAGAAAGCGATTCCGATCCATAAAGGCTGCAAAAAAATGGATCGAGGAAGCAACTCAAGGTGGGCAGGCACAGGAGGCATTACCAGCTTGTAATGGTTCTGAGGTGAGCTCATGAATTTACTTTGTATATTGGAGGTAAGATGATACACAAACTATTGTGTGGTAATTTTAAACGATGTTTGCAAAGGTGATTGTCAACCATTGATGTAGAATTGATTAAATTTAGATACGTAAATGTACACCATGCCTAAAATTATGATCAATATATGGTTGATGTTATTGTACACTAGCTCATGTAGGCTTCACAGAGTGCCAAACCCCCTCGAACAAGTACTAAAAGGAGAAAAGCAACTCGAGACTTCGACTTTGCAAACCCACCTGACAAGCTAATATGAGTCCTCACTGATGCTGTGAATGGTGAATGGAACCCGTATGTCGAAGCTACCATGGTTCCGGAACAGGTGAATAATGAATGGGCCAAGGCATTTCAATCTGTCTGTGGAAATGAGTGAAGCATCTGGCTATTATTGAGTTGGTGTTAATGTATAATTATAGCCAAAGACCATGAAAAACTGCTTTTACTCTTCGAGCAGTTGCGCCAAAAAATAAAATGTCGTTGTCATTTGAACATTCCGTGACTTTTATTGTCAAACCCTAAACTTTCGTTTTACTTAGATTGGTTGTAGTGAGGTTTTTTTTTTCTTATTTAATAAATTCCCTTCTCTTTCTAACAAATTTAAAATGCACTTGCAATGTTTTTTTTCGGGGGGTCGTATTTCATAATTAGAATGTGAGCATCAAAGTCAAAATTAATTGAAAATGCAGCTCTGGTGCCATCGAGGTTTTTGGTAACGGTATCGATATGATGAGTAGTTTAGATTACTATAAGGTTGACCTTAGGAAAGTCTAGTGAGAGTAATTAAACACTAAATATGGTAACAGGGCAACCTTTTCATATCTGGAAAGGGACAATATGAATGTAAATGTGTAATGTGAGAATCTGGCTCATATATTGTCAAGCACCTATAACCTGCATTTGTCAATACCACCTTTCATAATTGGAAGTTGCGCCAAAAAATAAAATGTCGTTGTCATTTGAACATTCCGTGACTTTTATTGTCAAACCCTAAACTTTCGTTTTACTTGGTTGTAGTGAGGTTTTTCTTTTCTTATTTAATAAATTCTCTTCTCTTTCTAACAAATTTAAAATGCACTTGCAATGTTTTTTTTTGGGGGGTTGTATTTAATAATGAGAGTCATTGTTTCCTCACTGATGCTGTGAATGGTGAATGGAACCCGTATGTCGAAGCTACCATGGTTCCGGAACAGGTGAATAATGAATGGGCCAAGGCATTTCAATCTGTCTGTGGAAATGAGTGAAGCATCTGGCTATTATTGAGTTGGTGTTAATGTATAATTATAGCCAAAGACCATGAAAAACTGCTTTTACTCTTCGAGCAGTTGCGCCAAAAAATAAAATGTCGTTGTCATTTGAACATTCCGTGACTTTTATTGTCAAACCCTAAACTTTCGTTTTACTTAGATTGGTTGTAGTGAGGTTTTTTTTTTCTTATTTAATAAATTCCCTTCTCTTTCTAACAAATTTAAAATGCACTTGCAATGTTTTTTTTCGGGGGGTCGTATTTCATAATTAGAATGTGAGCATCAAAGTCAAAATTAATTGAAAATGCAGCTCTGGTGCCATCGAGGTTTTTGGTAACGGTATCAATATGATGAGTAGTTTAGATTACTATAAGGTTGACCTTAGGAAAGTCTAGTGAGAGTAATTAAACACTAAATATGGTAACAGGGCAACCTTTTCATATCTGGAAAGGGACAATATGAATGTAAATGTGTAATGTGAGAATCTGGCTCATATATTGTCAAGCACCTATAACCTGCATTTGTCAATACCACCTTTCATAATTGGAAACAACATGAAACTCTCGTTTTAAGTTTTTTGGAGACATTGTTTGGTTAATATACATGACCTTTTCTGATCCCTATCAAACATAGAACACTTTCTCCTTCATCTATCGCTCCCTCTGCTCTCATGTACTTCAATTTTAAAAGAATTTTATCTTGACCCTGTGGAAATTTCTGTCAACATATTTTTTAATTAATTTCCTCTTTATTTATGTTGCATCGAGAAACTCAAAAAAGAAACAAGCAAAAACTTTTTCTTCTTTTTTATCGTCATAAATTACTCTTTACTAATAAAATTTGGAACCAAAACTAAGCAGTTACACCTTCCCCTATTATCAGAAGTGACTTATGCGCTACATACACTTGGACTACATGCAAATTTATACATGGCAATTGAAAAGAGTACCAATCTTTATTGGCTCTTGCACAGATATCCAACTCAGTTGTTTCTATACTGACTTAGATCTGTATGTGTGGGGGTCTCATTAGGTGCAAGAAAACACACCAAAGCTAGCAACAATGGAAGATGAGGGAAATTCAACCCTGCTGCCACCAAGAGTAAGAAAGAACAGCCAGAAATGTTAAGTGAATTTGATCGGAGATTTGGTCTGCTGCCACATTTTGACATAGAGACCATCCCTCTTCGAATGCTACCACCCCAAGAGGCTGAGAAATTTTGTGTAAGAAAGGCCACGGACATCTCTCAAATACTATGGCGGAATAGATCAGGTTAATTGCGTCATTATCTTTTTTTTGGGGGGGTTATTATATAACTATGTTGTTTCAAATCTGAGGATCTGAAGAATTCATCAATAATGCAATTGAAAGTTTTTAGCTAATTATAAAAGTTCGTAAATTAGATCTAGTGCCTCCATTCTCAGATCTATTAATTTTAGAACCACCTGTAAATTTTTTGAAAACTATCAAGGGGTTAATCTGATGATTTTGTGTCTATTAGTTTAGTCGTGGAGTCTGGAATTAGTTTTGTTGTTGTTGTTGTTGTTGTCTTTGTAGTGTTGTCAGATCTATTAATTTCAGGCTTACTAGCTAGGGATATTGTGATCTGATTTTGTGTCTATCAGTTGAAGTGTGGGTGGGATTTTTTTTTTTTTCTCTTTGTGGTGACAGTTCTATGTAACTATTATATACTTGCAGTTGCAATTCAGTTTTGAACTGTGTTCTTCGTATTTACCTTTGAATTAATAAAATATAGAGGTATAAATCATTCATAAATGGCCTTTTTATATCTGGATAGCTGATCATATTGAAGTGTTTGTGGGCACTATTTAGTATTCATATTGAAAGCACGTCACATATATACTTCAAGTATGTGCATGTATAGCGTGTATTTCACGCGCACACGCACACGTATATAGTTACCAAATTATTCATGCCTCAAATTACCAAAATACCTGCATAGTGTATAAACACGAGAACATACCAATTAAGCTTGGGAAGCCGCAGTTTTAGGTTGAAGGGATAATCAAATATGGTGAAGGTTTCAGGAATTTTCTTGTTATTTTACATGTTTGTACAATTTTATAGTACCATATTCCATGCCTAGAGTATTAACATTCAAGCATATTATCATGAAATTCACAATATTGAATATTTTGCTCAAGGCTTCATAGAGTGCCAAAACCCCTCAAACAAGTACTAAAAGGGGAAAAGCAACTATCGAGACTTCGACTTTGCAAACCCACCTGAAAAGCTAACATGGGTCCTCACTGATGCTGACAATGGTGAATGGAACCCGTATTTCGAAGGTATCATGGTTCCGGAAAAGTTGAAGAATGAATGGGCCAAGGAATTTCATTCTGTCTGTGGAAATATGTGAAGCAGACCCAAACATTGCTTTTCAGCTTACTCTTCGAACAGTAGCCAAAAATAAAAAGTCTTTCTCTTTTGAACATTCCATCATGACTAGTTTATTACTAACTTTGTTTAGCCAAAGCATTAGCTGCCTGGTTTCCCTGCATTTGCCAATACAACCTTAATTTCATACTTGGTGACAACATGAAAGCTCTCTATTTCACGTTTCTTTGCAGGCCTTGTTTGGTGAACGTATGTACATGACCTTCTCTGATCCCTAAAAACCTAGAACATTTTCTCCTTCACCTTCCCATCGCTTGCTTTTGCATTCAAACTCTCTTGCTCCCTCTACGCTCCGTTATACTTCAAATTTAAAATAGTTTTATCCAAAATCCTGTGAAAACTTCAGCCATAATATTTATAAATTAATTTCCCCTTTACTTAGGTAGCATTGAGAAACTCACAAAGCAAACACACACAAAAAAATTTCTTTTATTTTTTCAGCATAAATTCTTTCTAATGATAAAAATTGAGGTCAAATAGTCCAAAACTAAGCAGTTACACTTTCCTCACTTATAAGAAGTGACTTATGTGCCACATACACATGGACTGCATGCAAATGGTTATTACAGAGATGACCAACTCAGTATTTTATGTACTGATTCAAATCTCTGTGTGTGGGGGCAGAGATATCCCTCGCTTTTAAAAGAGTTTAATCCAAAACCCTGTGGAAACTTCAATCAACATCTTTCTTAATTAATTTCCTTTTTATTTAGGTTTCATTGAGAAACTCACAAAACAAACACACACACACACACAAATTCAGCATAAATATTCTTTTTAATAATAAAACTAAGCAATTACACTTTCCCCACTTATTAGAAGTGACTTATGCATACACATGGACTGCATGCAAATGGTTATTGCAAAGATATCTAACTCAATTTTTTTTATACTTACTTAAATCTGTGTGTGGGCGTCAGTAGGTGCAAGAAAATACCCCAAACCTAGCAATGGTGGAGGATTCATCCACGTTGCCACCAAGTGACACTAAGATTAACAAAGAACAACTGGAAATGTTAAGTGCATTTGGTTTTTGAAGCACACAATGAGGGGACTGATATTGGAGAACCAAAGTGGAGTCAGAGTTAAGATGCTTCCAAACTTTCGTTTTTCTTAGATTAGTTGTAGTGAGGTTTTTCTTTTCTTATTGATTAAATTCCGTTCCCTTGTAACAAATTTAAAATTGCACTTGCAATGTTTTTAGGTTTTGTCTTATCCAGTGATGAGAATCATTGTTAACCTTTACCATTTGCTATTTGTGGACTCAAATTTGTGGTGTTGGTTATTGAGACTAGAGTATTAGAATGTGAGCATCAAACTCAAAACTAATTGAAAATGCAGGTTTGGTGCCATCTAGGTTTTTGGTAGACGTATCGAGATGATGAATTGTTTAGGATTACTACTAAAGTTTACCTTAGGAAAGTCCAGTGAGAGTAACACAGTAAATATGGTATACATGGCAACCTTATTAAATTTGGATTTAGGACAAAGAATGTAAATGTGTAATTGAGAATCTGGCTCAAAAATTGTCAAGCACTTTCTGGATTTGTCAATACCGCCTTTCACAATTGGTAACAACATGAAAGCTCTCATTTCAAGGTTTTTGCAGGCACTGCTTGGTGAATGTACATGACCTTCTCTGATCCCTATAAAACCTAGAACACTTTATCCGTCACCATC